GTTCAGGGAAATAATAGAAAATGAACGTGAGAATATAATTATCACTAAGAATAAGAACTTGTCAACTGCTTATTTCGATATCAATTAACATTTTTTTTTTTGGTACGATAATTCTGATTAGACTCAGGAGATTTCAATAGTTCTCGCTTACACGAAAGACAATCATAAGCTTTCAATAATAAGTTCAAAAAAATGTTTAATTCAATTGGAACGAATTCTGTTGACACAGGATTTTACTGATCTTCAGATAAATGTTTCATTATTCATTGGAATAAGATAGAGAAAACAAACGCAAGAATTAAGGAAAGTATTTTTTTTTCGACAAAACAAGAGAAAAAAAGCCTCAATCTCTTTCGGATCAAAAATTACTATTGAATATTTCAACAAACAAATGAAATAGAAAACACCTGAAATCCAAAAAAAATCCAGAAACGAGAAAGACTTAAGAAAATTTTCTAAAATCCGAATTTTGTATAGAAAATCCAGAAGATCTGCCAACACTGATAGGATTCTTGAAAAATTTCGCTGCTCTCTATGATATTACTATAAGATTATAGAAAACCTTATGTCACGATAAGATCTTACAAGAATCTTACAGTGCGATTTTATGTAAGATTTCTGAGATCACGATTTTTAGTACGATTTCACCTGATCTTATAAGAGTTAATGTCTGATTTTTGACCTGGCCATGATTGAATTAAACTATTCTAACCACCAAGACGCTAAAGCAGATGTCATCCAAGCTAAATCAGAACAATCGTTCATCTCCGTCTCATATATGGAGAAAAACGGTCATATATGGGGAAAAACAATGCTCGTGTACTATGTTCAGACATGAACGTTGTATACGGTCTCCGTTTTTCTGTAGTTACCATCGTATTGTTCCATATGCAATAAAGGTAATATAGGATCTTAATAACCGATCATGTGATACGGAAAAATACAGAACGCGCATAATCGTTTACAGTCGTATAAGGACTCTGTGTTCATCAATCTAGTCAGTAAATACGCTTTTACTTCAAATAAGATAGTATTCTGTTGATGATAGAAATTTTGTCAACTTTTCTTAAATGTCCTTTCTCGATATGTAAAAGTTTATTCAACGATTAATATTAATTCGCTTTTATAAAACTTTGTTCTTTCATATTTCAATATGAAAAAAATCTATCACGTATTCGGCAATGTGACACAACAGAATTGAGAATCATTAGTAATTTGGCATGAATAATAAGCAGATAATGAATTCCACAGGGAACTATTGCGAAAATCACACATGTATCCAATGTGATCAACATCAAGAAGATGATCAGGTAAAGATAATCGTCTTTGTCAGACGAATTCATTGGGACGATCTATTGAGTACATAAAAAATGTCGTTGAAATTTATCCTGTTAATAGATGTTTGTTCAGGAGAATGATTATATTTTAATGTTATTCAAAAAAATCCATAATTAAACACTACAAATACTTTCATTTCTGTGTTCATAAAGATAGCTAACTTTTGTCCACTTTCCTGAAAAAATCCTTGAAGAGTCCCTGAAAATTTTCAAGCGAGTTGCTTTAGTTCTTTTACTCTCTTGAGTACCTGTAAGAAACTAAAGGAGCTAAAAGGTGTAAAGAGAGTAAAGAGATTATAGAGATTAAAAACACTAATAGAGGGCAAAGAGACCAAAGAGACTAAAGAGATTAAAAGGAGTAAAGAGACAACGATTGATGCAAAGCTGTATATGATTTTTTAGACTGGGACAACTTTAATTTCCTGTAGACCTACGAACAAAATAGATATAGTAATGAAATTTTCTTGGAGAATTTTCAGAGAGTTTTTTTTCTTTTTTTGTACTCCCTGAAATTCTGGGACTCTCCAGAGATTTCGCATTTTTCAGGAGACTCTCTCTAGGGATCTTTCTAGGGAAAGTGAACTTTGGAAATAAAATATCAATGGTAAATGTACGCATTTTACTGATATATAATTGGTCAAGAAGCCTAGAAAGATATCTTTGCTAGCAAATGAGATCCATTATAGTACACGTTATTGCCTCGTATAGTATAACCATGTGAGTATCTATGTTTATGAGAAAAAATTCTAGTAAAAAAGTGCTCACATTGAGCGAATGATTCATATGAAAAATAGTAGAACGCAATCGAGGAAAATTCAATAAATGAAGAATAGCAATTTCATTTAAAGCATCTTATCAAATAAATGTCTATAATTTGAAATTTCGTAAGTCTAATTCTATTAGTTCTTATAAATAATTACCGTTTTACCTATTAACTTTAAGTTTTGGACAAATCAACGTCATTTGATCGTGAGTGAACTACTTGTATAGCGAAACTATTATTTCAGTTGATAAAAATTTCATGATGGAGAAAAGATTCCTCGTTGATGTCACTTGAAACAACATTTTATATACTAATAGTATAAAAAACTACATCTCTGAAAAATGTGTACTTACTAGGGAACATTCCCAGGTGTCGGAACGCTTTCCAGTCGGGACTTAGAGTATCTTGTGGATCTTAGTGAGCTGTGTCTACAGTAAAAAGAGTTCGGGTTTCTGGCTTGTTTCTGAGAAGATCGAACATATTTAGTGAATTTCCACTATAGGACCTGACATTTGCAACAAGGCCAGATTGTCGAATNAAATTTAAAAGTAAAGGAAACTTTTGATAAAGAATTTATTATCTCTAGAATACTACAGTTCCATTTGATATCTTTGGCAGTATTCCATAGCCTAATCAGTAATGAGCATATTCAAGGAAGTTTTACATATTTTTGGATTATCTTCAGATTATACACATCTTATATAGACATTGATTGGCGCAGTAGGTAGCAGTATGTCAGAGGAGGGATGTGGTTGTAATCGGAATAAGTACTAGAGAATATTCATTTACAGGCAGAACTGAGCAATGTTATTGAATTGATGAAATTCTGGAACAGTTCTTTCATTCAATTCAATTCAAATCATAGATCTTACGAAATATTTTTTTTATTTCAGTTCAAATCAATCTGTAGATCTATGCAGTTAAAATAAAATTATAGATTCGAACAATTTTTTCCGAATTCGACTCAATGTAATGTCATTGATTCGAAAAAATTTCGTTAATTCAATTCATCTGAAGCCATGAATTGAATAAAATTGAGTTGGTTGTTTTTTAATTGAGTGATACAAATGTCATTTAGAGAAATTCAGCAAATGATGTAGCACAAATTGACACGTAAAGAAATGAATACAGTACTCATCACCAAAATTAAGAGAATTATACATCTGTATATCAAGCACGCAGGTGGGTAAACTAGATATATACATCATGTAAGCACTTAGAACAATTAATGATTGCATTATGCGAACATAAAAACCAAAAACATAGAGCTGCAAGTATGATTCAAACACTTCCAAACAAGAAACCTAGGGAGATATTGCAAAAAAATCACGAAATTTTGGATTTCTGAGGTGTTATTTTATAAGTTATTTTCTTTTCAGTAAAATTAATTGGAATATTTCTAAATTCAATTCAACTGAATTCATAGACTTTTGAAAACTTTTTTCAATTCAGCTTGATTCAGCATAACTCATGAATTAGCAATATTTTCTTCCAATTTAATTTAAACCGATTGATGCACCTTTACTTTATATTTTAGATCAGACAAAAAGTTAGGTAGCCCTGCACAACTAGCAGACTACTTTTAATTTGCTATGATAGTCAAAATTTTTATAGAGAACCTAGTATGAAGTGTGGACTATCTATTGGTGAGAAAAGAATACTTTTATCTCTTGTTTCTGCTTCGTATATAAAAAAAAAACGAAAAAACATCAGGGTGTCCGGATACGTTTTAGCCTGGCTTTATTTGACTTTTTCCTAAGTTTTTTTTGTTTTTTATTAAAAGAATCTGTCGTACTCTAGATTCTTTTGAAAAATAGTTTTATAATGACTACTTAAATTATTACTTTCTATTATGGACGTTATTTTTTGGAAAAATCTAAAGTAGCTTTATACGGCGTTAATTGATGTAATCAGCTATTACTAAGATATTGTGTTCTCTTCTTCTATATTGCTTTCCTTTTAAATAGAAAATTTGTTTTATGATTCGTACCAGTCGTTCACATTCTGTTTCCTGGTAGGTATTTTCAGAAATATCTATGCTCTGATATAATAAAAAAAAAGTAGAGCTTCAAAAAACATACATGAAAGCATCAGATGAACAGCGAAGGTGAACGAATGTTGGTAATTTTTCGATGCATATGTAAACGAATCAAGTATTTGAATGAACATATTGTATTATTTTTTATCATTCTAATTTTTTCTTTAACTTTTATAGTGTTTCGAAAGAGAAACCAATAATATACATGAAGAGCAGTTGTGCATGTACATGTTATCTATTGTATACGCAACTATGTATAAAATGATCAACTGGCATGCATGTCTATGCTCATTTGTAGTTTTAGATAAAGAAATGCATTGTCAACTGTTAGATTAACATTTCAGTCTAAGTGTAATTTTTTAAATTTAAGCGTTCTCAAGTTTCATTTAACAATTTCTTCAAAATGATAATTTAAGAGCAAGGTACAAAGCTGTGCGATCCACGTGGTAACTCGTGAGGTCTCGTGAGTACAGACGGAGGACGGGGAAGATTTAACTTGGAACGAATGACGACAGGATACGGCCGGAAAAAAATTGGACAAAACGGGCGGGATGAAGAGAGATGAGTGCAGATTGGGCGGACGGGGAGGGTGGGGGGGCATTTTCACGAGGCAACATAAGAGATAACAATTTATCGATAGACAGCGCTGCATTGCATGGTCGAAACACAACAGTTACTGATTAGTCCAGTTTAACAACCTATAGGGTGCGATGTTGTTTTCTTTCATTCATTCTTCAGAGAATCTATGTGTCTCTGCATCAATCTGCACATGAAATCTTATCAGTATCAGACTTAGATAAACCAAAACAATGAACGAGATGACTTAAAGCTCATTATGTATAACCATTTGTTTTAGATCAATATGGGCGGAACTTCACAAAATCAAGCAGCAACGACTAAAGATGTTTTACTCGATTTTCTTGCTGGTGGAACAGGTTTGTTCTTCTTTTATTTTATTGAATGAGTATAGTTTTCATTTCAATTTTTTTTAGCTGTATGTATAACATTATTCTTCGTTTTACATCTGTAAAACTTCCATGTCAATTGATCTTTTTTAGGGAGCTATTTCAAAAACAGCCGTAGCACCACTTGAACGTGTAAAACTTCTTTTACAAACACAAGATGTTAATCAAAAAATTATGCAAGGAAAAAAATACAAAGGATTTGGTGATTGTTTCATTCGATGTATTCGAGAAGAAGGGCCCATTTCTCTTTGGCGTGGTAATTGGGCAAACGTTATTCGTTATTTTCCAACAGTAATTTGAATTTTATCTCAATTTTTAAGAGTTTAATTAAGTTATATTGTTGTCATTATTGTTTTTTTTCCTTTCAAAAAGCAAGCATTAAATTTTGCATTCAAAGAACGTTATCAACGAATGTTTGCTAATTATAATCCAAAATTAAATCCATATAAATTTTTTGCTGGTAATCTATTCGCTGGTGGCATGGCTGGTGCAACAGGTTTATTATTTGTTTATCCACTTGATTTTGCTCGAACACGTCTTGGTGTTGATATTGGAAAATCAATTAGTGAACGACAATTCAAAGGCATGAATGATTGTCTTATTAAAATTTATAAAGCTGATGGTATTCAAGGTAGATTTAGTTTGAAAACACTTTTTTTAAAAACGAAAGTTCTATTATATTGTTAGGTCTCTATCGAGGTTTTGCTATTAGTGTTGCTGGTATATTTGTCTATCGAGCATTTTATTTTGGTGGTTATGATGCTGGTAAGATAATTTCAGGGGATATTCCTACTCTTTTGGACTACTTGTAAGTATTCGCGAGAGTATAACCGATCGAGCTCAAATTTTTATCACAGCTAGATTATTAAAAATGATCAGATCCATGTTCGAGAGAAAAACCTTAAAAGCAGATCTTCGGGAATGTTTGAAAGAATTTTCAAAGACCATCGCTTCTGCTTACGACCCAAGTCTTAGTTTGCCTGATTAGACTGATATTTTTTGCTGTTGATTCTTGAAATAAAAACTCAGACATGTTTTAGACTTTTTTTTTTAGAAAACTTCTGAGATTTTCTCTCAGGTACCTCCAGAAAAAATGTCAGCCTGATCGGACAAAGTAAAATGTGGATTGGAAACAGGCCCAATTGTTTTTCCAGATTACTTCAAATATTCCTTAAGATCTGCTTTTGAAATTTTTTTCTCGAACATGGATCTCATCATTTTTGATAATCTAGTTGTAAGAAAAATTTGAGCCTAGTCGGTTGTACTCTTGCGAAGAGCCAGAAGTAGTTCCAAAGAAGGACATCATTAATGGAAACGAAAAATTTGTCAATTCTTCTTCGTTTTTGTTTTCTTTTAAGGAAAAAGATTTATGTTTGGTGATGATCCAAATCCGAATATATTTTATCGTTTTCTTTTTGCACAATTTATTACATCATCATCAGAATTTCTTGCTTATCCACTTGATACAATCCGACGGTAGGCTAAACGAAAAAAAATATGTTCGAAACTCTTGTATTAACATCTTTATTTTAAGTCGTTTGATGATGCAAAGTGGTCGTGGTGATATTATTTATCAAGGAACAATCGATTGTGCACGAAAGATTGCTGTTAATGAAGGCTCAACAGCTTTTTTCAAAGGCAATTTATCAAATATTTATCGTAGTGTTGGTTCATCACTTGTTCTTGTTCTCTATGATGAATTTAAACGGTGGCTTCTCCTTGCTGGTCAAGCATCTTATGCTAAATAATAAATTTCCTATTAAAAACATAAAACTTACACATGTTGTTGTGGATCTATATATCTCTTATGCTACCTTATATTTTTTATCTGAACTTTTCTTTTCGTCTCATTTTTTAATGTTCTTATCTTTTTTTGTCATAACAATGACTTCACACTTTAAAATATTCTTTTGTGTATAATAGATATTTGAAAAAAAAGGACAAGTAACTAACACAACGAAGTATACATTCTTCTTTTTGTCTTTTCTATACGCTTTTTTGTTGTTTGTTTGTTTATATTCTATAATAATTTTCTTTTTGTTATAGATGGCTACTCCCAGTCAACAGTTAGTTGATCTTGATTGGAAATTTGCTATTAATGTGGCAAATAGTAAAACTGATGATGGCAATGGTACAGCTCGGCTTTACTTAAAATTAACAACGATGTCAAATAATGGTAACGATCGTACAGATATTCCATTAAGTGTTACATTAGAACAATTCTATGCTCTAGTTCATCAACTTGAAAAGGCTAAACTTGAAATGGATGTTTATGGTTAATTCAAATAAATTTTATTTTATTTTATTTGTAATATTTGTTCGTTTTTCTCTTTTTTTATCTATTTATTTGCAACAAGCATCCTTTCTTTTTTTTCTGTTACAATTGCATCACATGAGAGACAGAGAAAGAATAAGAACCAGAACAAAAAAAAAAGTGAAATAATAAACAAAGATAGAGGAAAAAAAGAAGTAATGTCTCACTGTGGCATTTTGAATTTCAAATATTTAATAAATAATGACTAAGCATATCCTCGTTGTACAAAATCATTTAATTTAGTACAAGATGGTGTACCTTGTTTTTGTGCTTCACGATATAACCCATTGTCATTCATCATTCGTGCACGCCAAAGCATTGATTCTTTATATTGTTGTTCTCGATAACATTGATGTCGTAAATCAGATACATATTCATCGACAACTGATGATTCAAATTTATTCAATTCAGAATCTGTTTTTGGTGGACGAAACTCTGGTTTAACAAAGTATTCAATTTTTGATGAACGAGTCGCACGTGCATTAGTATATTTTCTATTAAATATGCAGAGAAAAAAAATTATATATATTTACAATATAGAAATGAATATACCCAGTTCGATGCAATTGAAACTGAGGTTCACTCACTAAAAATGTACCAATAATTGAAATAAGAAATAGAAATAAATAAGGCAATAATTGTGCAAGTGTATGTGTAGTCTAAAATATAATAAATAAAAATATAATTTAAATGATTCAATTAACAAACAGTTTGTGTATGATTATTTGTTGAATGTGTAGTAAATTGAAATGGATGCTGTTGACGACGTCGATATGTACGAGTTGTTGGTCCTGAATATATCAATTAAAATTAATCTAAGATCCCATTAACTGATTCAAATAGAATCTAATGATCGGTCACAAAAAGTGGATATAGGGAGATCAGAACTCAAACAAAATCGGATCTTACTTATGTCTATACTGAATTTACATAGAAGTTTAAAGATTATGATTGAAGTAGTGTCCTGCACGGGTACGATTTTTTATATTCGAATCTAGACTGGCACTTTTATTATATCAGAATTCGAATCGGAGCTAATCGACATCCGATAAATACTTTCAGTCATATTACAGGTTTCAAACCTTTACTTTATGTGAAAATGTATACCATTTAGTTTCTTCCATAAACAGCAACAAAAAAGAAGAGATCATCTCAAATTCCAGAAAAGAGCAAGGTATTCAAGATTCACTTGGTGTCTTTCTGCTTCTAAAACCTGATCAGTTTCGCTAATTATGCATTTGCTTATTGCTAATAACACTGAAATCAGACTCAATGTTGATACCAAACGTCATAATTGCTAAGACATGCACGAATGCTTTTTCCATCACGACAATACATGTTTACTTTTTTGACAATTTTTGTTCCTGTCTATGTATTCAATTACTTCATCGTATGGATCCTCATCATATGTAAATGAATTTTCAGTAAGAACGAGTTCTCTCAGTAAAACAATATCGCTCTTCAATTCTATGACCTATTCTCAAGTACAATAAATGACTCAATTATGGTCGAACCTGATTTCATTCTTATGCTTTTATATATATAGTAGTTTCAAAGTATTTACTTCCGGATTCACGCTTCGAATCGAGTCGGCTACTGGGTGTCCGACATGATTGTAGAACACTAAATTGAAGTTATTTATACCTTCTTATAAATTGAAGGACATAATTTTAGCTTTTTTCTCTTTCATTTTGAAATTAAAAGAAAAAAATCATACCCGAATATCCAAAGAAAAGATTGAAAATTTCTTCAGCTGAAAAATCATCATCATCTTCATAATAATAATAATTTTGTGAAGCACGTCCACCACCATTACCACCCCGATGATATTGTGGTTCCATAGCATGACCAAATTGATCGTACTGTTCACGTTTTTTAGGATCACTCAAGATCGAAAAAGCCTTACCAATAGCTGTTTAAAAAAAAACAAAGAAAACAATTATAATAAACAAAGAAAGGTGATTAAAATTTATGGAGATAGATAACCTTTAAAAGCATCTGTAGCACCAGGTGCTTTACATTTGTCTGGATGAAACTAGATAAGAATCAAATAATTAAATAAAATAGAAACTTCTCTTTTTTTTTTCTTACCTGAAGAGCTAATTTACGATAAGCTTTCTTTAGATCTGCTTCCGTTGCTGATTTACTAACACCGAGAATTTCATACAAATCTTTGCATGTTTTAATTCTAATATTTAAAATAACATATTCATCAACAAAAGATAATAACAATCTATATGTGTACTTACTTTCGTACAGCTTGTGCTTCTTCAGGAGTATAATCATGGGATGATGTTGAATGTGTATGTGATGTTGATGTTGTTCGTTGTTTTGCATTTGATGGTGCTCCATTTGTTGTTGCTTGTTCATAGTTTGAAGATGTTGATGTAGATTCATAAGTTTTATTATTACTAGTTGATGTCGAATGAGAATTAACATGCATTAGTCGTTCCATGAGATCTATCGATAAGAAAAAAACAACAGAAATTAATTTATAAACTAATGAAGAAAACAAAAGAATTAACCTTTGGCTTTCTGTGTTGGAAAAAGATTTTCAGATTTTGTGAGATATCGAAGAGCTCGTTCATTATCATTGGCAAGTATTGCTTTTTCAGCAAGTTCTATATAATGAAGTGCAGAATCTTTGTTTGCTTCCATTGATTACGCAATATAACAGATCAAATGGAAGTAACAAAAAATATTTTTAAATAAATACGAAAATTAAACCAAATAGATAAATGTAACAAATGAAGACATGAGAAACAAGTTAATAATACACAAATAAAAACAAAAAACAAAATAAGACAATCCGCTTATTGTTTTATCGAGGCCGGATTTAATATATGAAGTCACAGACACCTGATCTATCAAAGAAAAGCAACACAATGCCAAAAAATTATCAGATAATTTCAAAAACAATAAAAATTTAAAACAATTGAATAACTGTCTAATTGAATAAGTGTTGACGTGCACGCGGACATCAGTCGGGTCATCATTTTCCATTTCCAAATCACAAAGGTCTCTTTCTTATCCTGATTGGATAAAATATAGAACCCGTTAGATATATTTTGACATTCAGACGATGTCACTACTTAACATAAAATTATGTCAAACATAGATAGAATATATATTTATTAAAAGCTTCCTTAACTGTTTGAAAAATAAAACATGTTTGAAATAGTAAAATTTATGATACATGAAACAAATTTCTTTTTCATTGGTGTTCATCATTTATAAACTAAAAAACTAAATTATACAATGAAGCCATACCAAAATATTATTGAATTCATAACAATCCAATACCTAATTATTGTTTGAAAAAGAAATCTCGATGGGTAGCAAAACTAGCAGCTCGGCTAATTCTTCATCATCTTTAGCTGCTGTTACTTCTCCTCCTACTACTAAAACTGATACTACGACCCCTCCTCCTACTACTACTACAACGAATACTACTACTGATCCTATCATTAATAATACGTCTGCTAAGACTAATATTGCAACAGTAACAACAAAAACTACTACGACTACTACTATGCCTACTCCTATAGTTACTTCTACAGCTCCGACTACTAAAAATACTTCAGCAACGCCTGTATCTACTGAAAGTGTGTATAAAATACTAGAGTAAAATTGATTTTTAAATAGAAGACTAAAATATATTAAAGGTAATTCCAAATCATCATTCTTTTCTATTGCAAAATCACTAACATCGAATGCTGAAAACCCAAAATCTGCTGCTTCATCAGCTTATACACAATGGTATAAATGGAGTAAATATGAACAACAACAACGAGATAAAGGCAAAGCAGCCTGGTATTTGAGTCCACAAGTAACAAGTACTGATACATCTAGTGTAACGACAACAGCTTTAACAATGACAACGGCTAAAACTAGTAATGATCAAAAAGAAATCTATGATGCATCAAATATTACTGTTATGCCCAGCTTTCAATTACGTTCAACAGCTATATATAGTCCACCTCATGGTGATCGTGTTTTATCAGGACGTAATGAATTAATCAATACCGATGTATCAAATTTTAAATACTATATACCAGACAATCGCACAAAACAAACGGTAAAAATTTGTTGTTTTTTTTTTTTTTTTTTTTTGTAAATATATTTATAGAATTTTGAGTAAAATATTCATTTCATTAATAATTCGATAAGATAATAGTCTAAAACATAATATATTATTTATAGGTTGGTCAACATACAAGAGCGACGATGTATAAAATGAATACTCGACTAAAACAAACTCCTTTACCAACTCCATCATCTTCATCAACAACTACAAATCCTAGTAGTAGTAACAATACAACAGAAGATAATTCAACAGTACCTACATTTGTCTCTATTGGCTTACAGACTGATCTTGAAGCACAACCAATTAATTCATCTTCTTCACAAATGCTTTATTATGAAAGACAAAAACCTCAAGTGAATCTATTTCATATTCTATTTCATTCTTAATTTCTTTTTTTTTTCTTATTACATAGGTCGTTCCTGTATCAGTATTATCAAATTATAATTCAAGTAATAATGGATTTTATCATTTATCATTAAATGATACAGTTAGTCAACCAGTTTTTCCACCTACCGAAACGAAACCATCAGTACAGTTAAATGATCAACAATATCCATCTGTTAATCAATCTCTTCCTTATTATCCTCCTCCACCACCGCCGACATCAATATTAAAAAAACCATCAACAGTATTATCTCAAGAAAAATATAATCCTCTTTCAATACAAACACATGATGAAGTACTTGAAGAATTGCGTAAACGTAATAATAATACAAAAAATGGCATGTATCGTGTAAAAAAAGTTCATATATTAGAAAAAGATGATCGTGAAAATCAACCATTAACTGTACCATATAGTCTTCCATCTAGTAAAGCTAGTCAAAGTATATTAAGAAGTGAAAAATTACTTTTTAATCAATGATTTAATGAAAATGAAAAAAAAAATAGACAAAGACATAAACGCACACACACACACACACACACACGAGAAAAGAAAATGTTTTATTTTGTTTCGGCCTTTTTTTTTTTAATTTTATGAATAAAGATCAAAATTTGTTGAACAATCATTATGAATAGCTGATAATTTATTAATACCATTCGTTGGATTATATGTAAAATAAGATGATAAATTATCAATTGAATTATTATTTAATGTTTCATGTGGTACTGTTTGTGGTGGTGTTGATGATATAATACCACTTGTATCAAATGATGGAAATCCATAATGACTTGATGTATTATAAAATGAATGTCTTGCCCAATAAGAATTATTTGTATTCATTTTTGTATCATTAGTAACATAAACATTTGTTGATGTTGGTGTTGTATATGGTGAAAATGAACTTTGAAATGTATTTTGATAAAATGTTGACGGATAAAATGGTACATAATTTTCATCGGATCTTACTTGTTGTTTAATTTTATTTGTTGATGATGGATAAAATGCTGAATTTGATGATGATGATAATGATGGAGATTTATTTATTGGTGTCGTTGTTGTTGCTGGCGTTATTGTTGTTATAGGTTTTGGTGAAATTATTGTTGTATTTGTTGTTGTACCTTTTATTATTTGTCCATTTCGTGATATAAATGGATAAAGTGTTTGAGGATCACATACAAAACGATAAACATAACGTTCACCAGCTACTTTTTGCATAATACCTTTCTCATAATAATAACGAAGTGAACGAGATAATTTATCATAATTCATTGATGGACGATTCTTTTGTACACCCCATAAACGTGCTACCTATGAAACCCAAAAAAAAACAACGTCGATTAAAGAAAAGTTTCAATTGAAATAATTTACTTCTTCAGGTTCAACTAATTTAAATTCTAAACCTTTTCCTGTCCAAATGATAATTGTACCATTAATACCATCTTCTAGTAATGCTAATAGAAATTGCCATAATTGTATCGAACCACGACGACCATATAATTGAGAATCACGTATTGTATCCCATCGACGTTCTAAAAATAATTTTTTGTTTCAATCAATTATTTACGTTTCTGTTTATAATTTTGATTTTTATCATCTTACCTCCTCGATTTCGATGTTGTTCACCACCGGATCGACATGACATTGTAGTAGTATTATTACTGTTCAATACAAAAAAAAAGCTTTTTTTCAAACAACTTCAGCGTTCAGTTTTTTTTTCTTGTTTAATAAAGGCACTCATGTTAATTATCATGCCTTCTTGTATCTGAACTTTTACACTCGTTATTAGAATTGAAATATAAGAATAGTAGTAATAGCAATCTTTTTTTTCTAATGTGCACAAGTCAATTAGACATTTCATTCTTCTTCGCATGTCGCATCCAAGAAAAAACCAGAATGAGGTCTTTTTCCTTCTCCCTCGTCATTAGTCAAGTACTATACAATGAAATACATGCATAGGTGTTATATTGAATACTCACTGGATCATTAAAGTAAATGTGTATTCTCGTTCAATATGAAAAGAATTTTCTAAATGATTCTGTTATATCTGTTTGTATAATCCTCTCTCTCTCTCTCTCGCTTTCTTGTGTAAACCAGAAACACAACTTCAATCATTCTAGTACATCATTCACGTTCACAAATCAATCATTTCTCTTTTCTCAAGAACAGATCATCATCATCAACAACAACTATAATATACAAAAGAACGTTATCGGAAAAAAAAGAAACGTGTTATTTCTCTCATTTCTCTACTAATTCATTGGACATGACAAACTTACAAATTATATGAGACCTATTTGAAAGTTAATCATATAAATGAGAAAAAGAAAATAAAAAAAAAAAAAACTATGAAAGAAAATAATTGATTAGGATAGAAAAACGTCCGATATTGACTACCAACCGGAAATGAAACTAGACGTTCAAGATGAAGATCCACTTTTTGGACGATATCATATCATGTCATTGATAAAGTTAACAATCATTAATATTCGAATAGAATTCTGCTATGATTTAGTAAATGACTTACCCTTGAGCGTTTAGTTGTCAACAATGATTAGAGCCGACAATAGTTAGTCACTTTACAGTTCGAGCAGGTGTATGTGATGATATGTTCTCTTTTTTTTTTGCTATTCAATGATGTTTTTTTTATTTGAACTTTTAATATGAGAAAAAAATAGGAAAAGTGAGACACTTGAACGCGACCAAATGCAGAGTCTTATTTTTTCAATGAACTAAATCTATGATCATCTCATAATTGGAAGAGAGAGAGAGAGAGAGAGAGCGAAAAAAAAAGTTCTTTTTCTTTACTTATCAAATAAAAAGAGAAATGAACCAATCGGAATAAAATTATATTTACATGGCCAATAATAAGCAAGAAAAAAAAAAAACTCTTCTTGTTCTCTCTTTAAAAAAACAACGGGAAACCATAATTAATCATATTTTATTCAATGTCATTTGACTGATTCTTCGAGATGAGTATTGATATGAATCTGTAGCTGTTGTTAAGAACGTTTTGTCTTGTTCTTCATTCAAATGGATGCAATAAATTTCAACAAAAATTAAGAATGAATATCGATCGCTGTTGGATATCATCGATGGTTACATGTAGATTTCTTTGATAAAAGATTTTCATTGTTATTCAATGAGAAACGATCATTTGTTGACATTCGACAAATTTGAATGATTTTTAAATTTGCTATTTATCATAAAGTGTGAATAACTAAGATTCAGGATTAAATCTTTCACAAATATATTTACGTTCAATGGGTGGTATATAAAATTTGTCTTTTTCTTATCTTGATTATTTTCCATGATATAATAAATTACTATTTTTAGAAAGTTTAAATGAGATGAATATAAAAATGAATTTGAGACTTGCAAAAAAAGGACAAAAAATCGTATTAAAGGAGTTTTTTTTATTATAAAGATTATATTGAGGTGTACATTATGTTAGACATGGTATTTATAGAAAAAAAAATGAATTTGACTCTTTTTTCTCAGATAACAATCAATTTTCTAAACCAAACTACTACACAAAATTATTTGCTCATTCAAAGAATTAGAACAGAAAAAAAAACCAAGAACTTCATCATTAGATTCAATCAACATTTTGTTTAAACAGTGATTCAGAATGTTTTGATAGCAAAGTACTTATAGTATATTCCTGGGATAACATATGAATTCAGCCTTGATTTTCTGTTTTTGTGCTTTAATGTGCACACAATAATGATCAAAACTACAAATGTTTCCCTATGTGCTTTTCCAACTTTGAAGATACTATTTAGTACAGATCGAGTCTAAATGAATAGTCCGTTGTGAAATTTGAATTAGTTTATTTTATAACAAGTCTGATCTGTGAATAGCTCTTCGTTTTTAAAGTAGTGAATCTTCAGAGAATCCACAGCAGGAGAGATCGAGGGAATGAGCTTTCAATCTTGAAAAATTTTTCGCTTTTTACAAGCGGACTTTCACCGTTTTATTATTTTGTTTATTGAACGATTTTCCAAACGTGAATATACCTGTGGATCTTCAACACATTCAGATGGCTTAAAACTCGAAGCATTATTTATAGACAATTTCAGATTAAAAGATGTATCAACAAATGTCTATATGATTAGAAGTAGATTTAATTGATAAATATAAATTATGTGAAGTAAGAGAACGTTAGACTTTTCTGTTTATCATGTGGAAAAGAATTCTATTCTTTCAAATGTTTGTAAAATATGATATATAAAAAAAACTTTGATTGAATATTTATAGTGAAGAAAAACTTTCGTTTTTCTTTGTTTACTCATCAATTGCAAGTTTTGTTTTATGACTTTTTCTTCGAAAAGTAAATCAACAGAACATGAATTTTTTATTACATAAAATTAAGTGACAAAAATCCAAGAATAACAATATTAAGCCAACAAAATACTTATTATCAATAGTAAGAGTGAAGAAAGAAAAAAATAGATACTAACTAGAAAAAGAAGCCTAACAAGAAAAGAAATGACCCAAATTGGAATTAGTTTTGTTAAATTAAAATTCTACATGATCTAGATGTGCAGATGTTGTAGCAATAGTTTCATCACATGCTAATGGTGTTTCAAATGTCATTGCATATTCACATCGACTTGGTTCTCGTACATCAGTAAGTTTCTGTTCAGTTCCACATTGTAATGTAACTATTAATGATCGTGGTGGACCATTCCAACAAGTAGCACCATTAGAATATTTCATTTTTAAATATTTATTATCTTTTGGTCCACACCATGAATCCCAATAACCTATAGTAACTTCACTACCACCACCTTTTGGTATTTGATTAGCAGTTTTAAACATACATATTCGATATGTATATTCTCGTTCTTCATAATCAAAACATTGATCAATTATTGCTGCATATTCATCATGTAGTCCAGTATCAACAGATGATTGTTTTTTTGAATCGCTATAAGAAAAATAATCAAAAATAAAAATAAATAATGATTTTATTTTTAAAACAAAAAAAAAAAAAAACGTACTCAATTTGACGTTTAATAGAAAGAAGTTTTTCTCCGACTTCATGGTATCTATTTCGAGCTTCATCAGCTATTTGTATTAATCTTTTTGTTTCATCATCATATTCTGGAGCTATACTATCATGAATATGTTTTTCATGTTCAAGTGACTTTATAAAACAACGAAATAAATTTCAAATAAACACTTTCTTTTAATTTTATCAGCTTACTGTTGCTATTGATGATGATCCACGATGATTATATTCTTCATAATCATCTTCACTATCATCTTCATTTTTATATGAAGATCGTGTGTGTGTTCTTAAATCTTCTTCATCAGTAGGTATTTCTAATGATGATGGTTGAGTTGTTATTGAATCTATTGATGGTTCAGCAAGTGGTGTTGGTTCAGGTGTTGGTCTTGTTGGCTCAAGCAATTTTCCATATGAATTTGATATTTGATCAAATACAGTTGTATTAAATTTATTCAAATCAATTGAA